GGAAATTTATAACGTGAAGTCGAAGGGTTAACATTGGTAATAAATAAAGAGCGCCTGCCAACCAACTAGAAAGATGAATTCACCGTTACGTTTTTGGTTTTGTGAAGCTCTCTAGAAATTGTTCCATCCAACCATCTCAGGTAAGAAACTGGCGGCCTAGAGAGGGAAGTATTTTCCTAAGGTTCTGCAGCCAATAAGTCATGAGTAGAATACTGGGTACAGTATTTCTCCCACTCCAGGGCTTGTCATTGGTTAATGGGTCAATCTAGCTCGATTTAAGAATGTGTCCTTCCACATTAGCTTAGAATCTTTAGAGTCTCATAACTAGGCTTTGAAAGATATGTAACTCTTAATCCTAAAAAGTCTCTTATAAATATCACTCTGCTAGAGCTAATAATTTTAATAACTTTTCCATGTATATTTTCTACAGCCCACAAAGCATCAACATATTCCTTATCCTAGTTACTCCTTACAAACACTCTCACTAGCCTCACAGGGAAACTGAGGTGTGGGAGGGGAAGGGGCTTGTCCAAGGTAATTGAGCCAGTAACCTGAGCCCTCATCTGTTTATAATTTTGTCCTCGTGATCCTGCCAAAAGGCAGAAAGATAATTTTAGCAGTAGGAAATCTGATATAAGAGACTTTTGGCAAGGATGGAAATAAATGGTAAACCTAGGGTCCAATCTTGAAAACCCAGCTTCAAATGGCCTGGAATTAGCTATTAATTTATTTTTACCAGTTATCAATTCTGGCCCCAGAAGGAGGAGAATTAAACAAGCTTCATGGAAAGGCCTCAGCCTGGATCTTGTCAATCAAATTCTTTTTAAAAAATATTTTATTGATTTTTCACAGAGAGGAAGAGAGAGTGATAGAGTTAGAAACATCGATGAGAGAGAATCATCGATCAGCTGCCTCCTGCACACCCCCTACTGGGGATGTGCCCGCAACCAAGGTACATGCCCTTGACTGGAATCAAACCCGGGACCTTCCAGTCTGCAGGCCAAAGCTCTATCCACCGAGCCAAACCAGTTTCGGCTTGTCAATCAAGTTCTAACCCACCTCTCTAGTCATGCATCTCTTTAGGCACCCCTATGCTTGAACTGCACTGGCTTACTCACTGGGCTCCAAAACATACCATGTGCTTTCTCCCTCCCCCCCCCCCCCCTTTTGCCTCAGTCTTTCTTTGCTTTCCTTCCATACTCAACAAAATACAACTCACTCTTCAAGGCCTTGTTCAATACAATTCACTCTTCAGTGTTTGCCTCCCTGGGAAGCCTTCCCTGTACCCTCGGGGCAGATTTTGTCTTTGGTTGTTTTATTAACTCAGCTTCCCGCTGAGCAAATATCCACCTGTGTTTTTACTGCTCTGCTTCCTTACTAGATTGTGAGATTTTTGAGAATGGGAATGGGATCTCAGCTGTCTGTAATCTGTGTTTCTAGTGTCCAGCTAAAGCCTTGGCACAGAGGAGACAATTGCTCAATGGGTGGTTGTACAATTGACATCTCTTTGCCCTAGATGAGATGAATATGTGACAAATAATCCACATTCAAATAAGGTAAATGTTATACAGAGAGTTATGTAGGGTCCTGGAGGGAGTAACTAACTTGGTCTGAAGATAGTGTCATCTAGAAATTTTCTCCACCTCGAATGGGGCTGAATAGAATACATAAAAGAAGGAAGTCCTTTGTGAACAGGGTGGATTAACTGGTTAAAGAAGTGTTCACTCAATATCAGAGACTCATTCAAGACCAAAAGCTGAGCCACCAATTCTAAAATGGGGTTAATTCTGGGGAAGAGAAGCATACAGTGTGAATTCCTGAATAGGACGGATGGGTAACAAAACCACCAATGGGGTTCCCCTATTGGTAATTCTTGAAGCGTGTGGGTGGGAATGTGTTTGCGGGAGGTTATGGGGCAGAGGGGGGATTGGCCACATGCTTCCAGGTCAGGTGCCTATATATAAGTATCAGGTCTTCTGCTGCTGCGGCAGCTTAAAATCTTCTTTCTTAGCTACTGCCTTGCCCCCCACCACCAGTATTTTCAGCCCTGTGTGTTGGGTCCAAGGCTCACTGCATCCTAGTTCTAGGAATAGCTTTTCACAGACCACAGCCACGGAAGGAGAAGAGCAGAGAGAGCGTTGTGAGTTGCACTGCCTGCTAAGACTGCAGAAAAAGCAGGATCCCTAATGTCACAGAGTACGGAAGTCCTGAAATATTAATCAAGAGCTCTGCTTTCTGTCCTTCCAGTCCTCTTCACCTGAGACAGTCCTCTAAAGGAACTTCACTCTCCATTCTAGTTGAGGAAGCTATTAGGTCCAGAGAAGTTCAAAGGCTTGTTCCAAGGGCCAGAGCAAACCAGCCCTGCCTCATACACTGGGGGAAGGAAGAAAAGACATAATCTTTATCTCCTACTTCATTCAAAACTGAAGTAGACCAAGTCAGAGAGGCTTTTGGGAGCCACTGTCCCACAAAGACAGATCAGAAGGATGACAGATAGATAGATAGATAGATAGATGATAGATTCATCCTTCCCCCAACTCTCCCATACTCTTTAATGCCCATTTCAAGTGGCCACTTATGCAAATTATAAAAACAACAACTTTCCAGACAGCCTAAAGAACGGATTTGGATTTGTGTAACTTTTTTTTCCTCTGTTTCACCTACCTGGTCTCTTAGAGGTTTTGTCTTCCATTGGGAATTATCCGACACGCAGTCCTCTTCTATTTAGACCCCCCAAACAGGTCCAGTGGGTGGCGTCCAAGAGGGAGCCTGGAGCCTTCCGTTGGTTCCCTGGGAAGGCTGGGGAAGTACCCTCGGTAAGAGGGGTGTGTGTGTGCTCTGTTGAAATATCAGCTGTTGTAGTTGCCAAAGAAGTTCCCGAGCCACCCAGAGCCTTTTCTCTTTAAGCTAACCATGTGTTCACCTTGCCCCAAAGGTCAGAACTAATATTAACAAGCCACCGCAGAATGGGAAAATGAAAACCAGCAACGGAGACAGGCAAGATCTGTATGCATTTCCTTAGGGCTAAATTTCAGATTGTTCTTCAGAGTAAATAGGCATGATCCCTTGCTAGCAAGTAATTTGGAAATCTAAAGCAAGAGCAATAAAACGGTTCATTTCCTTTGTCCTCATTATCCCACTCCTGGGATTCAACTCTGAACCAATAGCCACCAAAGCATGAAAAAGTTTAAAGCAGCATACATTTAATTTTAATTGCAGAGCTGTTTTCTGATGGCAGCAAGTGGAAGGTACTTTTAAGTCCCCCAGTAGGAAAAGCAGCTCTTTGAGTCTGCAGACATTGAGATTGGTTAATCTAAGGCTATCAAATTCAGGTGTGTGTGTGTGTGTGTGTGTGTGTGTGTGTGTGTATAATTATGCTGTAATTCTGAGTGAGGAACCTACGTTACACTTTTCCCTGTACATTGTATATGTCTATTATTTCTATTTTTGTGTTCTCAAAAACAGTCACGCCTCAGCCAGTTTGGCTCAGTGGGTAGAGCATCAGCCTGCGGACCGAAGGGTCTCAGGTTCTATGCCAGTCAAGAGCATGTACCTTGGTACAGGCTCCTCCCCGGCCTAGATCCTGGTCAGGGCAAGTGCAGGAGGCAACCAATCAATGTGTTTCTCTCACATTGATATTTCTGTATTCCCCTCTTTCTAAAAGTCAATGGAAAAAATATCCTCAGGTGAGGATTAAAATAAATAATAATAAAATGAATTAACTCAAGTCACTAACCTGTTGGTGCTATTGCCATTGTCCTTTGTTATTCATTCAACAAATATCTACTAACTCCTCTAGTATATGTTATCCCCCATGTTAGGGGATGGGACTAACAAGATGAATCAGACATGTTCATTGTTCTCAAGTTGCTGACAGTCTAGAGACAGAAAGAGAAATAAATGGTAGCTGAGTAATGTGGTAAGCGCTGTGACAAAATGGACCATAGGGTGCCCTGAGGGCCTAAGAGGAAAAGATCTAACTGGGGAGGTGGGTGGTTAGGAAAAAGTTACTTAAAAAATATTCCTTGAGCTGATTAAGATAGGGTTTGAATCCTGACTCTCTCACTTCTCTAAGAATGGAGTGAATTCACTCAATCTCTCCTACTTAGTCTTAATAGCCCTTAAAGGATTGTCCTGAGAATGAAGTGATATAATGCATATGTAAGAGCTATAGGAGCTTGGTAGCTCACTTAAAATTCTCTGGGCCTCAATTTTACTCATCTGAGAAATGGAGCCAAGAGAATGTACGGGTCCAGCCACGTCCTTAGGATGTTATAAGGCTCAAGACAATGAATAGCTACAGGGCAGGCTTGAGACAGCCTCCTTCCTCCCACTCTCTCCACCCAATAAAGCCAGAGCTCTCTCCTAAGTCCAATTGCCTCTGAATGCTCCCTCCAGCAGCGGCAAAGTTCCCTCCCTGCATCCTTCCTCCCTCGAAGCAGTTACATCAGCTGCTCCTCCCAGGGCGCTTGCGCTACAGCTGTATGCTTTCCGGCAGGGCGTGCAGTCACGTTGGGGGCGGGGCTTCGGGGGCTGTACGGATCCGCTGCATTCCTAACGCATCGGAAGCATCCAAAGGGCTTTTGGGCAGAGCAGACACGCAGTCACACTAGGATGCGTGGGCTAAAGTGCTGCAGGGCAATGGGGGGAAAGAGGGGAATATGTAAAACTTTTAACAATAAAGACAAAATAATAATAAAGTGCTGCGAGAGAAGCAGAAGCCCTGCTGGAGGCCTTTTTCCCGCCATTCATTCCTCCTAGATGTCCGCCCCGCCCCCTGCAGAGGGAACTTCCTCTCCTGTAGCCAATAGGAACGGAGGGGCTGGAAGCCCCGCCCACGCGCGTCCCACCGTTGCGTGGTACGTCAGAGGACGCCTGCGCAAGTGAGCTGGGAAGCGGAAGGCTGGAAGGCCGAGCCAGGGGGACTCACTTGGGGGAGCCCGCCGCTCTCTGGTCCCCGGTAGGGCACGGGCGGGGAGGCCTAGTGGTTTGGCGCCACAATGCTGCGCGTGGTGAGCTGGAACATTAATGGGATCCGGAGCCCTCTGCAAGCGGAGGAGCCCAACTCCACCACCATGGCCATGGCGCGCATTTTGGACAAGCTGGATGCTGACATCCTCTGTCTTCAGGAGACTAAAGTTACCAGTGAGCGTTCAAGAATCCAAGACCCCTACCATACTTGCCCCTTTTCTGCTAACTTGCCCGCCGCTCCATCTCATTTCACTCCTTCATTTCTGTCTTTAGAATCCTCCCCTTCTTAGACCCTCCCTCTCAGAACCCTGGTCCCCTCCACTTGAAACTCCTATTTCTCAATTCAGCTAGATCTCCTAATTCCCAGTTCACCTCTCCTGTCCCCAGCAGACCTTTAATTCCCTCCCCCTTGCAACCTCCATCCTCGCTCAGATCCTCTAATTCCCATTCATTCTCCCACCCCGGCTCAGGCCCCATAATTTTCTCCCCACCCGCACACTGTCCATCTCCTACTTCCAATCCAGACTCCCAAATTCCTCCTCCCAACTCAGATCCTTTCATTCCAACCCAATTTTTGCCCCCAGATCTGACTCCCTAATGTCCTCCTTATACCTTCTGATTGGATCCCTGGTTCCCCTTATCTCTCCTCCCCAGCTGAGAGCCTCTCATCATTTCTCCTTCATGGCCCATCCCAAGCTTAATCCTCTTAATTCCCTCTCCTCCCCATCCATCTCCCACCCCCAGCTCCCTCCTGATTTCTTCTCTGCCCCACACACTCCCTACTTTTTCTTTCATCTCCAGTCCAGATTCCCAGATCCCTCTCCAGATCTCCATCCCCCCCCCATCAGCTCCATCCTGTCACTTAGTCACCTCCCTCCTCCTACCGAATTCTCCACCTCCCATTTCATAGTTCCTTCCTCCCAATTTGATATCAATTCCCTCTCTAGTCCTCAACTTTCTAGCTCCTTCTCTAATCATAGATACTTCCTTTTATTTTCCAACTCGGACTCTGATGTGTACAAGGAATTAGCCTTACAACTGGAATTCCAGGCCTTTATGTGACCTGGGTCTTAGTTTCATCTCTGACATAATCTTGCATCTTTTTTTAGGGGATGTGCTGACAGAGCCCCTGGCCATCATTGAGGGCTATAACTCCTATTTCAGCTTCAGCCGCAACCGAAGTGGCTATTCCGGTAAATGGGGGTTTCTGGGGACTTGAAATTGGTGATGAAAACAGGTTTTCCCATATTTGATGAGAAGGTAATGAGAAACGTAGGCTTTTAGTCCATAGAGCTAAAGCCGCATAAAATTATGTGTCAAATTATCCTATTGGTCCTCAGAAGCACAATAGTGTGGTGGTTACTTGTATGCGTTCTGGAGTCAGACTGCCTGGGTTTAAATCCTAGCTCATTTCCTAGCTCTGTACCCTTTGGTAAGTTGCTTAATCTCTTTATGCCTCAGCTAGAAAATGGGGATAATACGTACCTTCTAGGGCAGTGGTCGGCAAACTGCGGCTCTCGAGCCACATGTGGCTCTTTGGCCCCTTGAATGTGGCTCTTCCACAAAATACCACGGCCTGGGCGAGTCGATTTTGAAGAAGTGGCGTTAGAAGAAGTTGAAGTTTAAAAAATGTGGCTCTCCAAAGAAATTTCAATCATTGTCCTGTTGATTTTTGGCTCTGTTGACGAATGAGTTTGCCGACCACTGTGGACAATTATAAGGATTACACAAATGAGTTTATGTGATAATGATATTAGCTAGCACTAGTGGAACACTTACCATGCATTCATATACAACACTTAGAATATTAGCTGCTGTACATGAAGAAATGGAGACTTCAGGGTTTGAGGAGCGTTTCCCCATCAAGGCCTTTGAGTTGATAGAAGCGTTGATACAACGCTTGATGGAGATGACTCAGGTGACTTGTGTGGGGGCAACGGGTTGTTGGCTGCCAGGCCTGCTCACAATACCCTGTCTGTCTCTAGGTGTAGCCACCTTCTGTAAGGACAGCGCCACCCCACTGGCTGCTGAAGAAGGCCTGAGTGGCCTGCTTGCCCCTCAGAATGGGGGCGTGGGTTGCTATGGAAACATGGATGAATTCAGCCAAGAGGAGCTTCGGGCTCTGGATAACGAGGGCCGGGCCCTCCTCACTCAACACAAGATCCGGTAATAGCTCACCTCCCCCTGTCACAGCCCTGCTGGCTGTAGTGGCATGTGGTGATTGTGAGGCTTGCCTTGATAAGCAGGCATTCGCCATAGGAAACTTCCCAAAGTTGCCTTTCCTGGACTCTAGTCCTGGCTGGGTTGCTCACTGTGTGACACTGGGTAAATCCTGTTCCCTCTGAGTCTTGAGTCCCCATCTCTACAGGGGAGCAAGGTCAGGAGTTTCAGCTCTTGCGTTTCCACAGGCACAAACAGGAGCAATTTATCGTGGGCTGAATGCATTGCCCCAAGGTGCTCTCATTCTGTATGTCCTGTCTTTTTGACTGGCGGCACCATCTCCTGCTTGACCTGGCTGTCATCCTAGATGCCCCTCTCCTTGCCAAATCTGTAGTCAGTCCCCAAGTCCTATGTGTGCCAGCTCATTCATGTCTTTTTTTTTTTTTTTAAATATATATTTTATTGATTTTGTACAGAGAGGAAGGGAGAGAGATAGAGAGCTAAAAACATTGATGAGAGAGAGAGTCATCGACCAGCTGCCTCTTGCACACCCCCTACTGGGGATATGCCCGCAACCAAGGTATTACATGCCCTTGACCGGAATCGAACCCGGGACCTTTCAGTCCCCAAGCCGACGCTCTATCCACTGAGCCACACCGGTCTCGGCTTATTCATGTCTTTCTGTTCCCTTTCTTTGCATCCATCCCACCGATAACCATTAAGTGGAAGCCACAAAGTGTGGGGAGGAGTGGCATGAAAATGACTCATTTTCTTGGGCGGCGGGTTTCTGTTCTCCCCAGCACGTGGGACGGGAAGGAGAAGATCTTGACCATAATCAACGTGTACTGCCCCCACGCTGACCCTGGGAGGCCTGAGCGGCTGACCTTTAAGATGCGCTTCTATCGCTTGCTGCAGATTCGAGCAGAAGCCCTCCTGGCAGCCGGCAGGTACTGCAAGGCTTCCTTGAGTTTCTCTTGTGTGCCCAGCCTATGTCAGGCTCCATTGGAGGGGAAATGGGATCTTCATCGTGGGAGTGTTTTCACAGTCTAGTGGCAGACACCACACGCCTACCTGAATAGGCTCTGCTCTGTAAGAGTTATGAGGACCAGTTCTTTTGAGACCTAATTTCAATGCCCAGAAAGAAACTCTCTACAGGCTGATTCATATGCCTTTCAGCATAACGATTATTGCTTGTCTCATTTTTGATTCTTATAAGTATATTTCCAGTAGGACATGATCTCACTCATCTAGGGGGAATGGTGAACAACATAGACTGACGAACAAGAACAGACCCAGAGATAAGGAGCCATGGGTCAGACTGTTGGACCTCAGAGGGAGGGTGGGGATAAAAGGGAGAGATCAACCAAAGGACTTATGTGCACACATATGAGCCTAACCAGTGGTCAAGGACAATAAGGGGGTGAGGGCATGAGTAGGGAGGTGGGGGATTGGAATGGGGGGTTGAGGACAAATATGTGATACCTTAATCAATAAAGAAATTTTAAAAAAAGAGTTATGAGGACCAAGGAAAGGAACACAAATACAGGGTTTGTACTCAAATACCTCTGAGCAGAATAGCTTTACGAATGAAATGAGCCCTGACCGGTTTGGCTCAGTGGACAGAGTGTCGGCCTGTGGACTCAAGGGTTCCAGGTTCGGTTCCAGTCAAGGGCATGTATCTTGGTTGTGGGCACATCCCCAGTGGGAGGTGTGCAGGAGGCAGCCGATCGATGTTTCTAACTATCCCTCTTTCTTTCTCTCTGTAAAAAATCAACAAAGTATGTATTTTTAAAAAGAATGAAATGAGATGAGGAATTCCTGGGAGCAAATAGTGTTATCCCAGAGAGGGACAGGAAAGTGAAGGTGTGTTAGAGTAATCAAGGGCTGCTTCCTGGAAGAAGTGGTACCCCAGTTCCACTTTGAAGGACTAGAAAAATACCCCAAGGTGATCAGCCAGACAGTCATGTCAGATGGAACAGTGTCACCTTTGGAGATCAGAATTGAGTTGGTCAAGAGTAAAGGGCAGCAAGGTTACAATGAGATTGGAGAAGGAGGCTGTTCTGAGTTGCTTCTGGTTCTCACCTTGGCCTCAGTTTGGGAGGTGGCCTGCCTGAGCTCTTGAGCTCAGGAGAACATAAATGGGTGAGGACTACGGCTCCCCTCTTCTTGACTTCCCAGTTGACAATCCCACTGTTGTGTTTTTCAGCCATGTGATCATTCTGGGTGACCTGAACACCGCGCACCGCCCCATTGACCACTGTGAGGGACTCAACCTGGTAAGGCTCCCTCTAGGCCTCTGAACTCACTCCTGACTGTGTTTCTGTTCAGCCAGCCAATCGGTGCTATTTTTTGCTTTTTGGCTCAGGAGCAGCTTCCTTCCTGGAAAAGCAGAACTTAGTTTGAAATACTATTCTCAAACCACTGAGGATTGTTTATTCATTCAATAGACATTATTGACCCTACCCTTGACCTAGCCCAGTGGTCGGCAAACTGCAGCTCGCGAGCCGTGGCTTGCCACCCTGTTGACTAATGAGTTTGCCGAACACTGACCTAGACTCTCAATTCCAATAATTACAGGCTGTTGTTGTTCCTTTTATTAAGCCCCTAACCCAGTGGTTGGCAAACTCATTAGTCTACAGAGCAGCAAAATGCGGCGAGCGAGCCGCAGTTTGCTGACCACTGACCTAGCCTGACTCGCATGATGGGGACTCAGGTTACCACCCAGTTCTGGCTCTTGGCCCCTCAGAGCTCTCTGCGTGGTGGTGGGCTCTGGACACATGACCAGCCACTTATAGAATGGTGTCTTCAGGCCTGAGACAGAGGTGGCAGTCCAGGTCGCCAGGGAGCCCAGAAATGGGATTCCTGGGTCAGCCTAGGCATCGGGGAGGCATCTGGAAATGTCCTAAATCTTCAAAGATGAGTACAGGAGAGGTTTGGGGCGAGGACACCAAAGCATTCTAGCATGAGAAAAGGCTGCAGGTTGAGAATTTGCCTGGTGTGCATAGGGAGCTGCAAGTCCCATTCTTATTAGGGGTGACATAGGAAGGGAGATTAATGGCAGGAGATGGGGCCCATTTGGAGTCAAAATTCAAGGGCCAATCATTTTCTTTTTTTTTTTTTAGTTTTTTAAAAAAAATATATATCTTCATTGCTTTCAGAAAGAGAGAGAGAGACATCAATGATGAGAGAGAATCATTTATTGGCTGCCTCCTGCATGTCTCCTAATGGGGATCAAAGCCACAACACAGGCATGTGCTCTTGACTGGAATCGAACCTGTGACCCTTCGGTCCGCAGCTGACGCTGTATCCACTGAGCCAAACCAGCTAGGGCTATCATTTTTCTAATACACTCTGTCTTCTGCTCATGAACCTTTTTTTTTTTTTTTTTAATTCAGAACTGTTCTAGATCTAAGTGCGTCTCCTACATTCTTTCTTCCAGCAAACGAGAATTAATAGTACCAGGTCACATGACACTGTCCAAAGAAACAGAATATGTCCTCTTCCCACAAGACCAACTTTTCTAAGCTTTAAAAATGGCATTGTCATCCCCTTGGTTGCTCTTCCCAGAAGCCTGGCAATTGTGATACTATTGTCCTCCTTCCCTCTTCTACCTTTCCCACATTCAGTTGGCCAGCGAGTACTGTAGAGTCAGCTCCACATCATCTGTTTTTTAAAAAGATATTTTTATTGATTTCAGGAAGGAAGGGAGAATGAGAGAGATAGGGACATCAATAATGAGAAAGATTCATTGACCGGCTGCCTCTTGCATGCTCTCCCCTGCGGTCTGAGCCTGCAACCCGGCATGTGCCCTGACTGGGAATCAAACCATGACCTGGTTCATAGGTCAAAGCTCAACCACTGAGCCACACCTGTCGGGCTCCACATCATCACTTAATTTCAGTTTTCCCTGCCTCCTCTGGTACACCTCTAGTCTAAATGACCAACTTCTCCTACTGGCATGAACGATAGTAGCCATCTTCTGCTGGTATTCTGGCCCTCAGTTTGGCTTCCCTTCAGATGTTTGGGTACACTGTCCCTCCTTTAATTTGTAACGCCCTCTGCCTAGGTTACTCCTGCCCAGTGTTCTTTGAACATTTGTTGATTGAATGAGTGGGTGGGTGAGTTGGATGGATGGATGAACTGGGGAGCAGAGTCAAAGGAAGTAATCAGACATGGATTTCTGGAGCCCCTGAGCTCAGGGGTGAGGGATGGTCGGGGAGTGAGGGCTTTGACACAAAAGAAGTCAAATAGTGCCAGAGGGTTTGAATGAAAAGGCAGCAGTCTTAACTCCCAGCCCTAGCCCTGCTTTTTAGAGGCAGCTACCTTTAGCTTCCTATTTTCCATTCTTTTGGTGAGCAATTGTAAGAATTGCTTCGATGGAGCGAATAACAAGTCAGGAAGGGTGGAAATGGAATCCCAGCCATTGCTGGCTTACGTTTTCTTGTCTGTAAAATGAAGCCAAGTCCTTTCCGGCATCTAGTTCTGCCTCTCTCTTTGTCCCCCTTCCCTTTCCCAGGAATGCTTTGAAGAGGACCCAGGACGCAAGTGGATGGACGGCCTGCTCAGTAAGCTGGATTGCCAGGGTGGGTCCCACATTGGGGCTTTTATTGATACCTACCGCTGCTTCCATCCAAAGCAGGAGAAGGCCTTTACCTGCTGGTCAACAATCACTGGCGCCCGGCGTGCAAACTATGGCACCCGGATTGACTATGTGCTGGGAGACAGGACTCTGGTTATAGACACCTTCCGGGACTCCTTCCTGCTGCCTGAGGTGATGGGCTCAGACCATTGTCCCGTGGGTGCAATCCTGAGCGTGTCTTCTGTGCCAGCAAATCAGTGCCCTCCTCTTTGCACCCGCTTCCTCCCTGAGTTTTCAGGCACCCAGCTCAAGATCCTTAATTTCCTAGTCCAGCCCAAACAAGAGCCTGTGTCCAAGCAGTCAGTGCTGCAGGTCAGCAGTCAAACCCAGGGACAGATGCGCCAAAACAAAGCCCAGGTGCGCTCGATCAGGCCTCGGCCAAGTCGGGCTGGCTCCAGCAGAGGCCAGAAAAAACTGATCAACTACTTCCAGCTGTCCTCCAGCCGTCTCCAAGCTTCTCCCAATGTGGAGCTTCCTAACCTGTGTGCCCTTGTGACCCCAAAGATCCCAGAAGACGAGGTGATGGGAAAAGGGGTAGGGCAAGCCAAGGATGCAGAGGCCAAGGATAAGAAGGAGGTACGGACATCATTCTGGAAGTCTGTGCTGGGGGGTCCCTTGCCTCTGCCGCTCTGTGGGGGCCATGGGGAGCCTTGTGTGATGCGAACTGTGAAGAAGGCAGGACCCAACCAGGGTCGCCAATTCTACATGTGTTCCAGGCCCCGGGGGCCTTCCACTGACCCCTCTTCTCGCTGCAACTTCTTCCTCTGGAGCCGGCCCAGCTGAGCCCACCCAGCCAAGGGGTATCTGGCCTGGTCAGCCCTGTATATGAACTGAGGCCAGCACCTTCCTAAGCTGTCACCTCCTCCCCCAAGGCCTCCTTCCTCACCCCCTCCTCCTCCTCCTCCACCTTTCTCAGGGATCCTTCTGTTTCTTATTTCTTTTATTCCTCTAAGGCCTCTCTCCTCTCTCTTCCTGCCTTGCTCCTCACTGGTGCGCTACTTGTGCCTTAAATCTGCACCCCAGTCCTCCACCCCAATTTCCACTTTCCTTTAAATACACAGGAACCAGTGGCTCCAGGAACTTTGAAGACCCATTCTTCCCTTGCTAGAAAATGTATCAGCCTCAATAAAGTCTGTGTCTTTGTTTTAGTGCCCCATGTCATTTGAAGGTTTTGGATATGCTCCATGAGATGTTATCTCAATACTGGGTTTGCCAACTGCCTGTTGCCTGGTGGTATAATTCAGAAAGGGGAGGAAGGAGGAGGGGTGCTCACCATAAAGGGCTCTGCTGAGTTGTAGGGGTTCCTGTACTGCCGAGGTTGGCTCGACAGGAGGTAGGTGTGGTGTGACAGAAAGCTCAGCCACAAACCAATACGTCCCAACTGGTGTGTCTAACAGCTGCCATAAATGGGTTATGAGGTGGAAAGTAATGGGTCTCGGCTCTAGAGTTGCCAGCCAGGGTCAAGAATGGCACAGGTGTCAGGAAAGATTAACTCCTAGGTAAGTATCACTAATTTACCCAAGTACGCCATGCAAATGTTTTCTTTTTTTTTCTTTTTTTCAAATTTTTAAAATATATTTTATTGATTTTTACACAGAGAGGAATTGAGAGGGATAGAGAGTTAGAAACGTCGATGAGAGAGATACATCGACCAGCTGCCTCTTGCACACCAAGGTACGTGCCCTTGACCGGAATTGAACCCGGGACCTTTCAGTCCGCAGGCCGACACTCTATCCATTGAGCCAAACCAGTTTCAGCCATGCAAATGTTTTCTGTTTTCTGTGACCTGGGAAGGTTGGGAGCATTGCCTTGAATAAGTTGCTTTCTATAGTCAAGCCTCTTTCTCACCTGGTAAAATGGGGCTGGTAAGTCCTGTTCCATAAGGTGTGGGAAGGAAAGGATAATTATTGAGGAGGACATCCATTCCTTGTGATGGAAAATAACTCCAGTTTTGGGGAACTACTCCTCTAGGCAGATTGGTTTGAGCTGACTCTACCTCCTGGCTTCAGAGGCTATCTGAAGCTCAGGTGTCCAGGCCTCCCAGTGAAGAGTCAATCCCAGGATTTTTGTTGAAACTTGGGTAAGAGCCATCCTATATAATAAAAGGCTAATATGAAAATTGTCCCCTCCACCTGGAGATGGACCAGGGGGTGGGGCCAGCCAGCCAATGACCTGTGGCCCCTCCTCACAGCCTAGCTGGCCCCATTGGCCCCAATTGGAGTGGCTGGCAGGGCCCCACCCATGCATGAATTCATGCACTGGGCCTCTAATTTCAAATAAACCTGCCAGGTGTCTCCACTTTTTGTCCAGCTTACTGTATATTCTTTTTTCTGGATTTCAGTTTCTCTATCAGTAAAATGGGGTGATCTGTGGTTTACTGATGGCCCTGCCACTTGTCCCTAGGGATTTGGGTTTAGTGTAGTTCTCTGTCCAACAGAGGGCAACAAATGCTGCAATTTGCTCTTTATTTGTTTTCAAACTCAAGTCAGCTGAAGGCACACAAGAAAGCAAAGGAAGAGGCCCAGCCCCAAGTGAAGTGCAGGTGGCTGGTGATGATCCAAGTCAGCTGGCATCTCATGCATAGGTGGTGACATACTCGGGCCCCATGTTTCCAAAGTAGGAACGTTCCCACTCACTCATGAGCTCGAAGTGCACAGGACGGCGACAGAAATTGCAGGAGGCCACAGACACGTCCTGGAGGGGCAGCCCCACCTCAGTCCAGGCCACCAGCAGCTTCTCTGAAGATGGTGAGAGGAGAGGAGGGAAAGAATTGATTAGACTAGGTTTTCTCAATCCTTGTGTCACAGTACAGCTGTGCCAAGATGTAGATCCCTTCAACCCTTCAAGATGTCTTGGAACTATAAGTGGATTCTGGTTTGCCCCAGTGTGCATGATAAATGTTGCCATTTGTGAATGGGTGCTGTGATGTATAAAAGATTGGCAAGCCGAAACCGGTTTGGCTCAGTGGATAGAGCGTCAGCCTGCGGACTCAAGGGTCCCAGGTTCGATTCCGGTCAAGGACATGTACCTTGTCCTTGCGGGCACATCCCCAGTAGGGGGTATACAGGAGGCAACTGATTGATGTTTCTCTCTCATCGATGTTTCTAACTCTCTATCCCTCTCTCTTCCTCTCTGTAAAAAAAAAAAAAAAATCAATAAAATATATTTTTAAAAAAAGATTGGCAAGCTCCTAATTTGACACAATTGATAGCTGCACTGGCCTGGTACAGGACATGCTATGGCCCAAGAGGTGAAACCATCTACTTTGAAACACCTATCCTGGAGAGAAAAGTGACACTGACAGTAACCACACAGTGTCACTGTTGTGACATGGGAACCTGGGGTGGGAGTGTTCCTGGAGGGTGTAGGAACCCAGAGGAGAGAACCTGACCTCACTTTCAGAAATGCCTCAGGTGACTTTTTTTTTTTTTAAATTAATCCCTTTTCATTGATTTTTAGAGAGTAGAAGAGTGGGGAGGAGACAGACATAGAGAAACATTGATGTGAGAGAGAGACATCAATTGGTTGCCACCCAACCAGGGCTGGGGATTAAGCCTGCAACTGAGGTACAGGCCCTTGACCAGAATCTCATCCACGGGAGCCAAACTGGCTAGGGCTGTTCATGGCCTTTTAAATTATCATTCCTTCAGTGATCTCATACAGTCTCATGGATTTAATGATTCTCAAATTTTCCTTCCCATCCCAGACCACTCCCCTGAATTCTAGGCTTGTATCTTCAGTTGCCTTTCAATATCTCCAATGTCAATCCTTGTGTCTGCACTAGGATTGCTAAAAACTACACCCTACAGGAATACAATAAACTTTAGATGAATTAACTAAACTGGCATCTTTTAGGATAAAAACCAAGCTATTCAGTTAGCACTATAAATCTTTCAATCCAGTCCCTTTTTTTTTTTCAGTCCTTATTTTGTATTGTCTTTTTGACACTCCTCTCCCCCACATCATTCCTACTATCCTGCATTCCTCTAACACCTGCTTATTCTTTTTAAAAAATATTTTAAAATTGATTTTGGAGAGGAAGGGAGAGGGAGAGATAGAAACATCCATGATGAGAGAGAATCATTGATTGGCTGCCTCCTTCATGGCCCCCATTGAGGATCAAGCCCGGAACCTAGGCATGTGCTCTGACTGGGAATTGAACTGTGACCTGGTTCAGAGGTCGACACCCAACCACTTAGCCACACTGGTTGGGCACCTGCTTATTCTTGATATATCCAAGGTTGCTTTTTATCCTCTCTTCCTTCCCTTTATGTTCTTCCCTCTGCTAGGAATACCCCTCCACACCTTCTTTATTCTCTTGGTTCAAGACCATTCACCTTGAAAGAATCAGTTCAGGTGTCATCTCCACTAGGAAGCCTGGCTTGAATCCCATATGTTGGGCCAGGGCTCTCCTTTCTGCACACACACCTTCCACATGTACTGTCTTTGTTGAACTTTCACCCCTTGAAGTCATTGTATCTCCTCAAGCAAACTGGAGCCCTACAAGTCTAGGGACTTTTTAAAAATCCATGTATGGCCCTCGTGTAGAGTCTGGCACACAATAGATGTTTCAGAAATGTCTTTTTAAAATGAATGGCATCTATTCACTCAACTTCTTCAGATCCTGGGGCTGAAAGGAGGAAAAGTGCTACAGGCAACCATGTTGAGGACTTACCCACAAAGTCTTCCATCATCTGAGGGCTGTGATGGGGGGAGGGTGCCAGGCGCAGCAGCTCCTCCCCCCGGGGGACAGTTGGGTAGTTGATGGCCTGCACATAGATGCTGTGCTTGGAGAGCAGGAGATCGCAGATCTTGCTGTTCAGCGCGGCATCACCCACCTGGGCTCAGGAGAAAAGCATGTCAATATCTGTCACCCTCGCCCCGCTATCGCAGGTGGAGGGAACCAGATAAAGGAACAACACTGAATTCCTAAACATATTTTTTTCATAAAGGCCTTAATCAGTGGCAGCTCCAGAATATCTCTATCAAGGAATTACTCAGAGGCACCAATCGAATTTTAAGGAGTGGGGTGGAGGTGGGGCTAGGAACCTTGTCTTGAAACTATGTGCAGACCAAGCACACAGGTTTTACTTAGCTAGTATGCTAATTTGGGTGGTTCTGGATAAGAAGGAAAATCTCTTAAGCACTCCCCATCTGGGATACTGCCACTGGGTTCATTAAAAAACAACAGTTATTTACAAAAGCAATATTTTAAGGGAATGTTGGGTTGGTCCAAGGAACAATGACTATTTCTTTCAATAATCACATAAAAGTATCTTCCCTGTTTCCCTACTTACCAACACACAAATTGATGTTATTTGAGAAAGAAGAACATGTATACATATATGTATAGTCTATGGATACAGATAATAGTGTGGTAAAGGCCTGGGGTGAGATAGGGGCTGGGTGGCGGGGGGCAAAGAGGAAGAAAGGGGAGACATCTATAACTTTGTCAATGATAAACAATAATAATAAAGAAGTCACAGTTAATTTTTCAAGGCAGTAAATACTCAAACATAGTTGAGGATCCAAAATAGCTGCTAGAAAAATAAATAAATAAAACAAGACAAATAAAAACATAAAAATAGCAGCTAATCCATGGCTTTTGATTTTATATTTTCTGACTTCAATTCTCAATAAGAAATATATTTCATGATCATGCTATACACATACACATATGTATATGCATGTGCACGTAGTCATAGCAAAACTGAAACAAATTGCCCATAAAATGAAACTCTTACTATATGATGTACATATTCTTTGCTGTCATTTTTTTTTGT